CGCCGCTACACATGGCGTGCCCATCCCGGCTCGTCGCCCGGCCGGCGGCGCGGCAGCGACAGCTCAAGCGAGGGGTTCAGGGACGTGCTCGGCGCGGACAAGTGGTACGTCGGCGGGCGGACGGCGGGCGGCGAGGAGAGGTTCTTCAAGATGGGCGTCGTGAGGCGGGTGAGGAGTAATGACGGGTTGAGTCTCGATCGGATGAGCTTATGATGTGCTTTGGCTTGCTTGAGCGTTCTTTGGTGGATGATGCGACTCTATGACTTTCTTTTTTCCAACACGACATGGGTTATCTGGGGGAAATGGGTTCGGACAATGGGGGGATTATTGGAACATTGATTACATACACGACAACCGTCGCTTGTTGTACATGGGGATTTGAAACGTGCACAGGGGTGGGAAACGGCGTTTGGGGTACTCCAAGGACAAGTGGGAGGGAATCACGACTTTTTGGCGCGCATGAGATGCACGCTCTGTCAAATTGCGACGTAGAGGAGACGGTGCCGGCCCGATGTGGTGGCCTGTCATGAAATCAAAAGCATATATCATGATCCCAGGTTTTTTGCCCGTTTTGCATTTCCTGCGTACCTATCTGACGGAGGCTCATCATCTGCCTATGAATAGTGTGTTTCTCTCTCTCTCTGTCTCCTCTTGCTGAGCCAGACCTCCTCACCACATGAACCGCTGCAGACGACCCTCGTCAAGGAATGGTGCCGTCCTCGGCCTTCCAGACGTACGGTTTGAGCAAGAAAATGACCATCGTCACAACGTTGATGGCGACAAACCACAGCGTCTCCACGACGACGCGCAGATCGACACGTCTTCCCCACGCAAAGAGCCAGTCGAGACCAAGCACGTGGTGGACGGGTTCCTCCCCGGCCACAGTGTGCTCGTGAGCCCGCCACGCCGGGACGAGCAGACGCCAGAAGACCCACGGCAGGATAAAGTACCGGGGCTCGACGAGGGGCGCCGTCATGAGCGACAGCGTCGTGGCTACGAGGAGCAGGATAACGGTTGACGACTGCGGGGCCTCATCGCCATCGGGACGCGCAGCCCGTTCATCCCTGATGACCCCCTTATCCGTGGGCTTCGAGGATGTGTCGTCGGGGTTTTGGGTGAGATCTGGGCGCCTCTTGTTTTCGAGGGACTGATGCGTGCGTACCAGACCCCAGAAGGGATGGCAAGTGTAAGGCGGTGTCTCGTCTACACCAAAGCCGTAGTCGGAGCAGTCCTGCGTCCGGGCCGCCCCTACGGCTGGGCTGCACGGCGCCAGTGCGGTCCAGGTGATTTTTTTATCTTTAATAGGTTCTCTAAAGT